GTCTGGAAAGCTGGTAATGGAATATTTATAGAATATTTCTGAGAATACTTGTGGGAAACTGTGTTTCTAACAAGCTTCTTTGTTCTACTGAGGCACAATTTCAGCATTCCTAAGTTGCATCTCTCCTTTTGTCTCTCTTTCTGTGTCCCACTCTCTCTTCTATTCTCTCTTTTTCTGTCTTCGTGTCTCATTGTATATACAGTATCTATCTCTGTGCCTTCCTACCTTTCCCTCTTTCTGCTTTTTCAACAACCTCAAAACACGAGCTCAGCCAGAACCTCACTCTGAACCTCATACCTAATGCATCACAGTAGTAGCCATCATATAACAGAAATCCCTCAGAACTCATCTATCCTTCAGGCTTTTCCTTGTCCATTGTAGCAGCATGGAACTACATACAATAAGCTCGCTGTAACTCTAAACTGTCTTTAGTAACTGTGCCTCATATCATTCGTGTGCCTTCTGACAGCTGGAAGCAGCTGGAAACTTCCAAATAATCCCCCTTCGGGAATTGAACCTCAGCACCACAGCGGCTCACTCTTGCAGTGCATGCAGCGCTGTGTTGTCAGTGAGAGTTGCAGATGAGATTTTTTTTTTTTGTCAGGTAAACTTGCAGAGTAAATATTTAATGGACACCATTGCAACATTGCATGTTCTTTTCAGTAACGCACTGCAGGCTGATCCAACACAACACTGACAAAATTTGAACCCAGTTTCTCACGTGTGCTGTAATATGCAACTCTACCCTGACATTTATAAAGTGATGTTTCAGCATGTGTTTGATGTAAACATGTCCCAGAGCGAATCGTTGTTAAATGTCGCAAGATGTTTTCGGATAAGCACAAAACACTCACATGCTTTCAAATCCTCTCTGGACTTGAAACCTTCAAGGACTCAGGTCTTGATGAGGTGTGTATGTATAAGTGTGTGTGCATGAGTGTGTTTTCGGAGTAATTTTGGATGATAGCTGATTAGGGACAGCTTGTCCAACAGGAGAACTAGTAAATGTTTTCTTCTGAATTTACCCCCTCAGGCAACACCTTGTCCCAGTGCACCACCCTCAACAAGCTCCACCAATCAAAGTTTGTTTGACTCAGATTATGGCCACATTTGGGGTTTGACATTTACCGCCCTCACCAAAGAAACAGCAATAAAGTCCCTCTGTTTATTACAACCACTACTTACGTTTATTGTCAGGTGGTGACATCCGTTGGCTTTAGTAATTATGAGGGAAGCCAAGGAGCAAGTCAGGTGACGAAGCATAAAGACTGACAATGTAAGCGTGGGGTGAGGTTAAGGTGAACAGATAGTCAAACAAACACAGGACTTTCACCCAGAAGACCGCTGTTTGTGTCCCATGTGAAACCAAAAGTCAACACTGAAATATTTTCAGTTTGTATCGTACTTAACTGACATCGTATATGCCACATACTAACATCACTTAAAAGAATACTTCACTTCGCAGACTTAACATTTATATATCAGTGACTCTCTGCTTGTTACCCTGAATTCAGAAAGAATACTTTGTTTTTCTTGCATACCTCCACAGTGAGCGGAGAATCCGAAAAAGCTAACATTCCTCATAAACTGAAGTAAGCAGGGACCAAAAAAACAGCAAAACTATATCAAAACACCCTTTTATGAACTTTCACACAATTCGTGCAGTATAATCCAAGTCTCATTTATCCAGTCAAGTTTTCTTCCCGATTTCAACATAACATGCCTTGAGTTATGATATACAAATATTGATCTTGCAGGTGGAGCACTCTTTTAACTTACATAACAAATAATTAACTACCCAGTTTTGATACCTAAACCTGACCACAAATTTTTGGTGCATGATTGCGATTGCTTCACAAAGTTTAATCAAGTGTTAAAAATGTGACCATTAGTTTGTGTGTCTGTCGCTGGTACTCTCCAATGGCCATTTATGTCACAGTCGGCTTCTCTCCCTCACCTGCTCCTGGTAAATTTCTATTTACCTGCACTCTGACTGCTGGCCACACCCATCTCATCAAGGCAACTCTGCTCACCTGTTCAACTCAGCCTGCCACCTCATCAGCCCAACTCCACTCACCTGCTTTCAATCACTGACTGGCTTAGTATAAAGACTCCTGCTCTCCACATACTCACTGCCAGATTGTTCTTTGACGTCATGCGAGACCATTCCAGTATTTGCTTTTGGCTTGATTCCCCGGTTCTGACCCTGCTCGTTCCTGACCTGCTCCCGTCGTCTCTGCCCTGGTAATTACCTCAGTCTTCTGTCTGTGACTCTGATTCCTGCCTGCCCCTTTCCTGGTTCCCGTCTGCTCGGCTCTGTGGCTGCATGGTGCAACACCAGTCCTGCATCCCTTGTTCAGTTCTCAGCAATAAAAGCCATTACCAACTGTCTGCCTGCCTCTGAGTGCTGCATTTGGGTTCAGTCTCACCCTGTGACAATTTATGTCTGGGAGTCATTGGCATACCACCTTTTCTGTCTTTTAGGTATGTGGGAAATGTCATGAAAGCTGCTTAAATATTGTTTATCAGCATTAGATCAAATGCCTATATGTAATGTGAAAGGGCTCAACAGAGGGTTATCACCAGATACTGCAGGGTCATTTAACAGTAGGGAACATTTTAACGCCTTTTAACTTGTTTTGGTTTTGTTGCCCCAAAGTTTTCTATTTTGGTTTAGACTATCCATTTGCGACACTGTTGTAACCAGGCATTGAAGGGAGCTTTTTATTTTATTTTATGTTATCCTGAAAACCCACTTCCAGCACCAAGTGGTACCCAAAGTCATCATCCAGCTGCTGAGCACGGTGAAGCATATAGCTGATAAAGACCCAGATATTTCCTTTGGGAATTGGGGAAGGGCAAAACAAAGCTGAAGGAGAGTGAATATTAAGCTTGCATTTGTTGTATCTTTACATTTTCACCATAACTTTATATGGTAACAATATAGAAATTTATAGCTTGTCGTGCTCCCTCTAAGTGCTCAAAAATCAGATTTATGTAAGTTTAAAAATGTCACTATTTGTTGCTATTTATAGCTGTCACTTTTTTAGCAGCAGACATTTAGTGTATCTGCATTCTGTAAACTTTTAATCATTCCTGGCAAAGTCTGGCAAGGGATTCAAATTGCATACTTGTGCACAAGGGATTTACAGGAAGAGATGCAAGCACATACTGGATGTGATGCAAAAGCGGGTGTCAGAGGACATTGACTGTCTCCTGTTGTCTTCTTCAATTAAAACAATGTGAGGAATGAATCCTGTCAGCCAGCGCTTTGTTTTGGTGCATTGAAGTTGCGTCTTTGACAGATGAGCCTCTCAAGGTGTGTTTGCTGCCCCCAGTGGTTGGCACATGCGTCAATTCATGTCACTCTGGAACCTGTATTATTAAAACTCACTTGTTGTTACTGCCAATAACAACAGGTGTCGTTACATCAAACATGACTTAGTTGGAGCAAGCCACCAGTGAAGGGACAAGTGTCCTTAAAGGTGTTCAACCTGTGTGTTTCTGTGTGTGGAGGAGAGGGAGGTTTGGTAACCTTGAGACCAAAGAGGCTTCTTTTAGTTTACCCTGTACTATTAAACAGGCAGACAGTGGAAATCATTACAGCCAGCTTCACTTGAATTGACTCAATGAATTCAATAGTTGTTAATTTAGAGACAGATTGGAAAAGAGAGGTGAGGGAGCACTAGGGGATGGAGTGAGGGAGCATAGAGAGCAAACAAAGAAATAAAAAGGCAGGCACTGTAGGAGAGAGAGTGACTTCTAGGCAGAGAGAGAGAGGGAAGAGGAGAAGAAAAGAGAGATGTCCCGCAGGCAGAGCAAGTAAATGAGTCATCGGAGTGGATCTGCTATCAGGTCTATTCTAACAGTGCTACAAGTGAATGGATGCCTTAAAGGTTAGGCATAAAATGATTTCTCATTTTGCTGCGATATCCCCCAAGGTAGACATTAATGCTTTAGTTATGGACTTGACTGTAAAAGCTCCTGGGGTAACGTGCTGCTTGTCTGCCATAAATATCACCGGCTATCTATATGCACATTGTGATTTCAATGAGGCTGCTTTTATGGTGAGGTGCGTATTTTTGTGCAAATAGTCAGTAAAGTTGATGTGATGCTGTGTGTCATTTCTACAGCCAGGTAGTCACCCGGTCTGCAGAGCCAACTCCCCAGGTGGTGGGGATCACAGCTGAGACTCTATTCAGCTCATCCTGACCCATTTCAGCACACACACACACACACACACACGCATACATGCACACACACACACGACGAGCACTTGCAAGCAAAGCCGTGCACTCATACAAAGTAAAGCAGCCACACACAGAACACTTACATATGTGCCAAGCTTCATTTCTGCTCTGTTGAGTCTGTTCGTGTCACAACTTTGCAGATGTTTTAGCCATGGGGACATGAACACTAAATTTGCACAAATTCTCTTCCCAGTCGTTTGGTTGGAACAGTGGGTTTTGAAATGATAATGAATCTGTGGGCCAGGATCTCCCACATGGCACCATGTCTAGTGTGGAAACAGAAGAAATAGAATAAGGCAGCCCTGGAAAGCAGCAGAATAAGATTTTTTTTTTCTGTCAAATGTGAAAGTCAAATTCTGGCTGAACTAGATACCGCCTTTAAAGAGGCCTATGTTTCTAAGAAGTGATAAAATGTTAAAAAGTGTGAATGTGAGGTTATAGTTACATCCGTAGAACACAGACGGTTCCCCATACGAGCGATATACAGTTTAAAGTCCTGCCATATCAATCAATCTCTGGAATGCACATGCAGTAATAAAAAGAAAGTAATACACTTACATATTGTTGAGTGGAGCGATGACGACTCACAGTGACAAATACAGAATCATATGGCATGACGCATGCTCACACGCTCCTATAAATGTGATTCTAGGTGTAATAAACAGATAAATAAATTCACCCTGACCTCCCACACAAACACACACCCACTCTTACAATGATCAGAATCCCATGTTGTTGTGCACGCTCAAAGGTCAGATTCCACAGCAATATAACTACACAGCTGGGAACAGTGACCAAGCAAACTCAGAGTGTGAACATGACGGAGGCGAATGGCACACCGGAGATGATGAAGCCGGAGAGTGTGTCGCTGCATCCTCTGGGTGCAGCAGCTGCCCCTGCGCCGGAGATGCTGTGTATCTTTGGGACGGGGGACTTGGGGCGCTCTCTGGGCCTGCGTCTGCTCCAGTCCGGCTACAGGGTGGTGTACGGCAGCCGCAGACCTCACAGCTGTGGCCCCTTGCCTCAGGGAGCTCAGGTACAACACATGGCATGACACAGCACTTTCAGTCTGTCAAAATGTACAAAAAGGTGTGTGTATGCAGCTCAAACATGTGTGGTTTTCTTTTTTCACAGGTGATGAGTCATGTAGCAGCAGCCCAATCAGCCAGTCTGATCTTTGTTTGTGTTCACAGAGAACATTATGAATTCCTGGAGACAATGGCACCACATCTTGCGGGAAAGGTAACTAAGAGTCAGTATCAGAATCTGTAACAATAAGGCACACATAATCCTTGACATTTAACAGGGAACAAATCAGGATGTATTAGCTATTTAAATTAGGACACTATACTAGAATATATTTCCTCCACATCTGTGAATCTGCAAATTGACAATCTACATATGCTCCCAGTAATCTCTGAATCAGGTGATAAGTGGCATGTCAACAATAATTAACCCGCACTGTGTTATTACGTACATATCAGTTGTTATTTTAGTGCCCACTTGTTTAATAAGTTATAAAATTGAAGTAAGTGTAAGGTAATCATGGAGTGATAATGATGCTCTCTGAGTAACGACGCACGGTAATGAACTATGGGCAGAAAAATAGTTACTAATATGTATGCAGTATAATAAAGAAGCACTAAATCATTTTTGGTTAGGTGTTATCACCTGATACAAATCAAGTAAGTCAGTGATCCTTAGAACATTTACTGTTGAATAGTCACACCAAAGAATAATTATATCCCGTCAGACTCTTTCATCTAATTAATCTTTAGCGGTCTGAAGAGGTGCAAGTATCCAGTTTAATATGTGATATATATTGATATTTGTAATTTAATTTGAACATGTAAATAAAAGACATGAAAACAAACAAGCAGACGGACAGAAAGAAAGTAATATTTACAAATTAAGAAGAGCATAATTTAAAAGTAATTGTCAGTGTATAGTTGTTTTGATCTGCACATCCCAAAAGGAAGTGGGTTTTATTACCATTTAACTTCACCACACAAAAATAACCCATGTAAATATATAATATTAATTACCAAATATCTATCTTACAAAATATAAGCCTGTCTTAGTATACTATATATTTATCCATGACTTCCAAATATAGTCATCTTGAGACCCCTCAAAATGATCCTGTGATGCTTTCAAAGGGTCCCGACCACCAGGTTTGGAACCAAGTGATCAGTATACAGATTTATAGTCAGGGACTAACATGTTGAATCTAACATTATATTTTTTCTCAGGTAAATTATCATAAGCCACAATTTAATCCATGATTCAGAGTTTCTGAAACTTGTTAGCTATTAATTAATGTTCATTTCATTTCAGCTTTATTCTTTACACATTCCTCAGTAACTGTTCTGGTTTCTGTGTACCGCATTGCAACATATAGTATTACAGGAGACTCTTTACACAGCCAGTCTCTGGGCTGTTAGCAGTTAATAGGTTAAGCTTAGGTTTAAGCACTTGGTTAGGGTTAGAAAACATCGAGTTTTGGCTTAAAATCTCCTGACCTGTTGTTACAAAATTCCTTTTTTTGATGTTTGTTGGTCTCAGACAGTGATCTGCTGCTGTCTGATGCTGTCTGCTGCTTGGCAGTCATCCCGCCATCCACCATCCATCTCCTCTTGATGAGACACTCGGCTCATATACATGTAATCTGAACGTCACTTTAGAAATGTTAATAAGATGGTTTGCAAAAATGTTCAATGCCATTGTTTTATTCTGGAGACTGGGCTGATTTCAAGACATGCTTTACATGTGAATACCAAGATTTAAACATTTCATCACTACAAAAAAACAAAACAAAACAAAAAAAAAAAACGGTATTCAGAGGTGGAAAAATGAAAAAGAGTAAATATCATTCAATAAAAATCAAAATATTCATAAATGGCAAAAGGACTTGCACTTGTATAGGGCCTTTCTAGTCCAGTGATTTCCAACTACATGTCACATTCACCCATTCACACAGACACTGCTATAGCTGTGGCTGAGGCTACTACGCAAGGTGCCAGCTGCTACTCAGTTTTAAAACATTCACAGGCACTCACACACCGATGGCATAGCCTTCAGGAGCAATTTGGGGTTCAGTATCTCGCCCCAGGGTACTATGATATGTGGACTGGAGGAGGAGGGATTGAACCGGCAATCTTCAGATTAGTAGACGACCCGTTCTTTCTCCTGAGCCAAAGCTGATAAAAAAAAAAAAAAAAAAAAAAGCAGATGAGGCATACTTGAACTGTAAAATGAATCAAAATAGAAAAAAACATATTTGTAATGTACTCCATTTTACTCCATTACACAAAAAAGTATTGTGATTACAGCAACACTGTAGTTTGCAAGGTATTACTCTTGTCACTGTGCGATCAGCATTTTCTAGACTCATGAAGGAGGATAATCAGCTCTGTTCACATCTTTATCATAATTTCTGAATAACTCAGCTCTATCTTTATTGTATAGGAATATGTATGAGACAAGATAAGAGTTAATTAAACTGATTAAACTCCTTTTTTCTTTTGTTTCCTCCACTCAATGGGTTGATTACGGTCTGATTACAAGGTGCTGGTGGACCTCAGTAACAATCTGAAGAAAGACATGTACCCAGAAACCAACGCCGCCTACCTGCAGAGGTAACAGATTCCTGTGAGAGTGTGGAGAAGGAACGCAGGATGTCTCCTTGATAAATATACTGTGCATGTAAACACTTCCATCTTCGTGAATATAATGTTTTATTCCAGTCATGATCTGATAATAAAAAAAAAAAACGAAGCTAACTTTTCATTTCTGGGTTTAATGTCAACAATCATTTTGCAACAGTAGGTGCCACTTTTTTTTTTCAAATGCTGGCTGTCTTTTTGGGAAAGTGCTCCTAAAACCCACTTAGAGCATGAGACATCAAAACTCTCAACTGAATCCAAAAGAAATGACAAAAAATTGCGGGGTTGCAGCTCCCTTGGCAGGATGGCCTGCTGTGTGTCTATTCAGTTCAAGTAGAAATATTGATTCTCACCATTCTGTGGCCCTTCTTTCCTTGTCTGTGTATTTGTAGATAGAAACAAAAGCAACTTAAGTCCTTGCTGTGTGTTCCTCAGACTGGTCCCTGGAGCTGCTGTGGTGAAAGGCTTTAACACACTGTCTGCCTGGGCCCTGCAGAATGGACTTCTGGCAGGAAAACAGGTGAGAGAGGAGTGGAAGTCAGGAATCTGTTAAAAGATGTCAGTGGGATCAAGACGAAACAGAGCCAGGAAGCTTCCGGGCCTTAAGGAGGGCTTTGGTTGACTGGAGTAAAGATACAAAGACAGAGCAGAAACAGGAGGGGAGATTACCAACTTGAGCTTTTCGTGATGAGACATATTTGACTTCAAACCAGGCAACAATAACAGCTTTCAACATTTCCTGGAATACAATGGGATAAGTGGCTCTCAGACTTGTTAATAATAGGATATGAACGCTTCACCATGCACCACGCAGAATTTAGGAAGGGAATTGATTTCATTTGTGTTGCTGTGGATGATTGATTTTGCCGTCTTTCCATAACAACGCACGAGGAAACGAGGACAGTGCTTGTATAAACACACAAACAAACAAACACGCTTAATGATGTTACAAAGTTGAAAGACCACTGTTTATTGCAGCTTCCGTTTCACAGCTACAAAGAGAAACACAAACATGTTGGAACCTCTGGAGACCAAACCTGAATCTGCCTCGAATCCTCTTCAACACAAACAACCGCCCTATACACACACACACACACACTCACACATACACACACACACACTGATACCACTGCAGTGCTCTATTTTCTTTGAAAACAGGTAGCTGTGAGAGAACAGGAGCGTTTGAACGTGTGTGTCTTTATCAGTGCATGTGTAGGTACAGTATATATTCACACGCACATGCTTGTAAGTGTGTGCTATTCCTCGGCCGGCAATTTGATTAGATCCACAGCGGGGCTGTGGCTCTGTCACATTTACATTCAGATGGAGATTTAGTCTGTCGGCCGTCCCCTGCTGTTACTGGTGCAGTAATGTAGGGAGACATGGCTGGCTGCCCGGTCCACTTATACACACACCTGGGGGAAAACTGCTCAATCCCACTGACTCCACTATATGCCTGTCAAACTGCTCCCTCTCTTTCTCTCTCTAGCGCTCACTTACTTTCTCAATCTCTCTCTTTGTATGATTCATTTTTTCCCCCTTTTACAAACAACTTAATCGTCTTATCACAGAGCTGTGAGTGTGGTAATAACCTTCAGCACAGTGAAGATCTAGAAATGGGATTACATATTGAGCAGCATATAGTATGCATGTGTCTTTACACAGTCACACACACTTCCAGGGGCTTCATCTCAAGATTACTGAAACAGCACAGTGGTGATCAACAGAAGAAGCGTAATTCTGTAGACAGACGCTGTAGGTACACTCGGTGTAGTCATGCGCTTTATATTCCAAACAGGGCTGGTGAGTCATCTCACAATAATCATAGAGTAATTATTAGCAACTAAAAAACAAAAGCTGAGCAGAATGCAGCAAGAGGAAAACATTTCTATTTCTATTGTTATTCTAAGGCATTTTGGTAGAAAACATGTGCTTGTTTTTTTGAAATTACTGACTGATGATTTTTATAATTGCAAAGATATAATAAGACCCACTCGCACATGCCAAAACTTTTCATATTCTTTCTTCTGGAGGCAATAGCCTATAGTTTTGAGATGCAGTGCAGCCAGTGGATATCCGGGTCAAGACTTCCTCTTCTGTGAGCTGCTCATTGTTTACAGCTTTGATTGGCAACTTGAGACCATAGACTGTGTATAAAGATGGACGACATGTCTCCACTTCCTCCCACTGTAGAAGAATTATGCCAAAATATCCCAGGTACAGGCGCTGCTGTCTCACCCCGGTGAAGTAATATGAAGCCATAGTCTGCACAGCAGAGTTACAGAATGGAGTTCCTGCCCATACACCCCATCTGGCCCAATCGTGAGCAGTACTTTTGAATGCAAGCACAATGACTGGCACACGAAGCTGTCAGTCATGATGTCACACCCCATTTTACTGCATCAAATGACCAATTAAAACCAAATGTATCCAAAAAAAAAAGAAAAAAGAAACCAGAAACCATCTTTGGGAAAAATGTATTTAACATTAATTCATTCATTTTCTGTAACCACTTATCCTGTTAGGGGTTGCAGGTGTGCTGGAGCCTATCCCAGCTGACTTTGGGTCAGGTTGCCAGACTATCACAGGGCTGATACATAGAGACAGAAAACATTCACCCTCACATTCACACCTACGGCCAATTTAGAGTCACCAATTAACCTGGATGTCACTGGACTGTGGGAAATGAATGAATGAATGAATGAATGAATGAATGTATGGATCCAGTGGGCTTGGGGCTGAGCGGCACAGACAGTGTTAAAACGTTATGAGAGATGGACTAACTTGTTGGTCTTGGTCATTTCATGGTATTTGTTCACAATAACAAAAATAAGAACATCACCAGCCTTACTTTTGAAACAACCCATGACTATAGCAGCCTTTTTTTAAAAAAAATAACGCACTGCTTCATGCTCCAGGTGTACCTGTGTGGGAACAGTGTGGAAGCAAAGCGGGCAGTAGCAGAGATGGCCACTAAGCTTGGCCTCACTGTTCTGGATAAAGGGTCTCTGTCTGCAGCCGGAGAGCTGGAGGACTTCCCCCTACGGCTGTTCCAAGAGTGGAGGCTGCCGCTATGTGTGGCCGTTGGCCTCACTGCTTTCTTCTTCTTCTATCTCCTCATCAGAGATGTCATCTACGGGTATGTTGAACAGGGGAAAGACATCTCCTTCAGGATCACGGTGTCCCTGGGCAACAAGGTAAACGTGTCCCCCTTTGGTCTAGTGTCCTCTCTCGATGGTGTTTCGTGGTCACTTTAAAGGATTCTTTGTTTATCCCCCACTTTTCAGGTGTTTCCCATTGTGTCTCTCATCATGTTGTCGCTGTGTTACCTGCCTGGTGTCATAGCTGCCTTCTTACAGCTCTACAGAGGAACCAAGTACAGGTCAGACATCAAAAATGTCCACTACCTGTGCAATTTGGTGTAAAAAGGTGTATCATTTTTGGAGGCCCAGCTCATATTTGCATGTTCCAGGCGTTTCCCTGATTGGCTGGACCGCTGGATGCTGTGCAGGAAGCAGATGGGTCTGATTGCACTGAGCTATGCTTTTCTCCATGCCATCTATACATTCATCACTCCTACCCGCTATGCTGTCAGACACAAGCTCATCACGCTTGTGGTAGATGAGGTATTGTACAGCAGACTGGTTCAAGCCTTGCAGTGTTTCTACAATCCTGCACATAGAGAATCATGACACAAAGCTAACCGTTTTTTTTTTTTTTACAACACTGTCTTTCTCTCTGTGTCTCTCTTAGATGAAGAACAATAAAACCACTCCGTTTTACTTTGATAACACCGAGGCATGGGCACAGGACTCATTCTACGTGCTGGGAATCCTGGGCTTCTTTCTTTATGTCCTGCTAGGACTAACATCCCTGCCCTCTGTGGGAGGCTCTCTCAGCTGGAGAGAGTTCAGCTTCATTCAGGTCAGAGCGCAGCTGGAAATGTACAGTCCTTTATGTGCATGTGTTAGACTTACAGTGTGTGTGTGTGTTTGAGTTCACCCTAAGGCCTACAGACGTTATCAGTCATGTGCTTACTATCAGTAAAAAACGTCTTTTAAGGCCGTGGTAATCTATATTTGGAGTTTCCAAGTTTTCATCCGAGTTATTAAAGTGTTGTAGAAGCAATATGTCACTGGCAGTCATATCCCCGGAGCCTAGTTAGCTAACTGCCTAACACAGGCACACAGAGTGAAAGCCTGGCTGACTCCAGCCCAGGATCTTAAATGTTAAGTTATTCATTAAATAGAATTATGATACCTGGTATAATCCGCAGGGAGGAGATTGTTAATACAGGTCACAGGTCCATTTGAGTAAAGGTCAGATCCATAGGTAGACCTCAAGCAGGGAATGAGACTCCACGATAGAGGTCTAGGTCAAGATAAGCCGTATGATCTGGCGAGGAGAGTTGTGGAAAAACATATAATTACAGGTATCAATTTACATAAACTGTTTTATTTCAGGGGTTGTCAACAGAGGCATGAAAATTATTGAATGTTAACGCGCACAGAAGAAGGATTTGCTGTTCTAAATGGGTTAAATAAGATCCCTGATTATCATTATAGGGGCAGCGTTCATTACTGCACTACATTAATATGAATGTTTCCTCATTGTGCTGTTTACTCTAAGTCACTGTGGATGAAAATATCGGCAGCCAAATGCTAAAAATGTAAATGAAAGCACATTATCCAAGTAATTAACAATAACCAAGCCTCAAAGGCCACTGGTGCTACAAAACCTATTACTCTGGAACGGCTGTAAAACCATTTTAATTTTTAGCTTATTGTAACACTTGTGGGCTCCACAAGCAAAGAAAAGAGTCAGACATTCATCTGTCAGAAAAAATACCACTGAAAGGCTCAGCGTGTGACAGCTTTCTATAAATAGTATCAGTTGTATTGGATTTTTAATTTAACCAATTTCTGTAAGAAAAACAGATGTTAGCAAGTAATAATGTTATTTGTGTATATCAGTCAGTACGTCATGGCAGAGTGAAACTCTTGAAGGAACAGTGTAATGTTGTAGAAAAAAATGCTTATTTGCTTTCTTGAGAGTTAAGAACTTTCATGCTGAAATTGTCGCACATTTAAAAATAAATATGAGTTCACGTTGTGTCAATCTTTTTTCCTCACCAACCCAAAAACTTTCCGCTGCCATTAACGTTTTCAGAACAGGTTAAGTTTTCTGCGTTGTTAGTCCAAGAGGCAGTAAAGAAAATGTGGCGTAACCTGTGGGACAAAAAACATCCGCCACATGAGAGAGGAACAGGGCAGAAGTGGATAGGTGGCCAGCAAGAAAAATAAGTGGAATTATATGAGAGCTGTGTCCTCCTTGAAATCTTCCACAAAACAAAGAGAAGGTAGCGTTAGCCTATCCAGAAATACACAACAGCAATGAGTGCAATTTAATTGTTGCACAGCTCAAGTAGCCGCGGCGCCACATGCTCGATGCAGTGGTGACAGTCGGGAGTGTACCTCCAGTGGAGGGAAGCAAGGGTGCAAAAGTGTCTTTCCATTTTTTCTTGTACTGCAAATTTTCACAATGAATAAAATAATAAGACACACTGGACTCAGTATGCAGTTCTGTGCTTAACAATTTTTATTAAATGACGGATGCACAACACATAAGAAAATACGGACTAGATGAGAAGATTAATATCTATGGATGTTCCTTAGATATGGAGCTGGTTAGCTTAGCTTAGCATTAAGACTGACAACTGGAGAAAACAACTAACCTGGACACAAAATATACCTACTGTACCAGCTCTAAAGCTCACTAATTAACATATATCTCTTGTCTGTATGAAAACCACAGACAAAAAAGTAGATAAGCGTATTTCCTTAAAGGACCAGCGTGTAGGATTTAGAGGCATCTATCGACAGAAATGGTATACAATAGCTTATTTATAGCTAGGTTGTTTATTAGTGTATAATCACCTGAAAATAAGAATTGTTGTGTTTTTGTTATTTAACAATGAGCCATTTATAGTCTGCGATGTTGTTCTACACCACAGACAAATAGGTAGGGCCGTTCATGTTTTCGTATCAGCCACTGCGGTTCTCCTACATGCTTGGCACACGGTCGAAGTTTCACTTGGTTGCAGTCTGCAACCTTACCACTAGATGTCACTATATGCTACACACTGGACCTTTAAATATCTTCCTATTCTTTAAATTTTTCCATTATATGTGATGTGTTCTTTTTTTCTCAGTCTAAACTGGGCCACCTGACCCTGATCATATGCACGACACATGGCTACATTTACGGCTGGAACAAATTCCTTCGTCCCTCTACCTACAAATGGTACACTCCACCTGGCTACATGCTCTGTCTGATTGTGCCTTCTGTGGTGCTGGTGCTCAAGGCGTTGATCCTTCTCCCCTGCGTGGATCGAAGCCTAACCCACATTCGTCAAGGCTGGGAGAGGACCCAGCTGAAGGAGGAGATGGGTAAGGCCACTAACCTGTGAACTCTGACCTCTGAAGTCATCAGGGTTGCTGATTATTGAGTTTCACTCATTATTGTTGTGTGGGGGTAAATAGTACTCCATAGTAAACACATTTGTAATTTGTATACAGTCATAACGTTGGCAAATGATTTACAATATGTTTTCATTTAGCAAATAAAGCACAAGCTATTAATTTTCTGAAGTGTCATCTGTTTGGAAAACATGTCTTTATATTAAAGTTGGTATGTAGAATGAGTTATACTTCAGAAAACATAATTTTGTCCATGCTCAGTTGGTGTGTGATTGTGTCCTTTGATCAGTCAGCACTGCCTACTCTCAATTGTGCAATAGCCAAACAAAACAAAAAAGTATAGTTTATTTCAGCCAAATGGACAGGTCTCCGTGGATATAAATGTTTTTAATGTCTATTTCCTTTGAGCTTTGACAAAAAAAAAAAAAAAAAAAAAAAACAGATTTTGCTTTCTCACAGAATGTGGTGAAAAATAGATTGATATCCCCCGCTGACATCCATTGTTTTGATAAACATAGGCAACAGTTTCCGCTTCCCTCTCTCCTCTCCCTTCAAGTTGTGCAATTGTATCCCTGAGGTCGCTCTCTTTTCAGGATGTTATTGATCTCCCTGTTTTCTAACACAAATACTGCGCTGCCCAAACCTGCCTGCCTCTTAAGGGCGTGCAAACGTGTACACTAACACACTGCAGATGCACATACACAGTGCAAAGGAGAGTAAGGTTAAGCTAATTATATTACCACCTGCAGAGTCGACACACGTGCACACATAGGTGCACGTATACATGGTGCCAACACCACAGTGGAGCACAGATTTGGAAGCCAAATGCAGGCTCAGGAAGAAGAACAGGTGTTACAAAAACAGTCTTTTCTAGATCTAAAACAGGGTTACAGAGGGCTAAAGCTGGTAGATAATCAGAGCATGTACAAGGAGGCAGAGCAGAATATAGGCTGTATAATGAAGGCAACGTAGACAGTCTATGAGCCGCCCTCTGTATACGCTGATAGCAGATAAGAAGCAGCTGGGTAGGTAGGCGACTTGATCAGGTGATGAGGTGGCAAAGTCAATAGTGACGGCTGGTGGTGCAGAATGGCAGGTGTGGAACAAGATACCTTAGTATGTACAACACTAATCAGATGATCGAGATGCAGAGGAGGGAAGGGAGGAGGATGGAGCAGCTGTCGCCATGACAGAGTCTGGTGCTACAAGAGAAATATGCAGCGCCTTTTTTGCCCAAAGCGGAACATTTAGTCAGAGGCATCCTGTTATCTAGCATCTAACAGCATTATCTGCACACACAATCTGCAATCCCTTACACCCTCTCACAGTGTATTGTTCTCCCATTACAAAAGAACTGCTGTTGATTTTAGCCTATTTCCTGCTGTGTGTACTGATGTATAAATGAGATAAGTATTTCAACATCGCCCTGGGAAAGAATTAAGATGCAGCAACGTACAAAAAAAAACTGTGAAACAAGCTAGCCTTCCACCCGTGTTTATTTTCACACACCTATAGGCAACCCCTGTGTCCAGCCATGAAGGCACACTTCTATATGGGCCTAAAATAAACAGTGTGTCTATTCGCACCCAGGTGAGAACAGTCCCTCTGCGGCTATTTGGCTATTTACATCCACGCAGTGACTGGCTAGTACTTGTCATGTGGACATATCTTGGAGGGATTAGGGCAAGGGGGTCATGGTTAGGACTGGCACTTGCCAATCGTGGATATTCTTTGATATTAAAGTGGTAGATCTGTGAGGGAAAACTCACATGTGCACTGCCAGAAAGTCAGGTGATATTGTATAAACAGCGACACAGTGAGAGTGCGAGTAAAGAGAGATTATGATGAGCTCACCAGGATTCACTTGGATGTTTAATGAAAGGTGTATAATGAAATGACATGCTGCCTTGTTCTATGCCAGAGTTTGGGCATAACTTGTACATTTGCTTTTGTAACAAAATGATCTTGACATTTACTTGATGTTTCTTGTCTAATTCTGTAGAGTTTGTGTAGTTGAAAAAAACTCAAATGAAATTCTAATAAATCAAGATGTATATTAATCATGCCCAAGGCTTTTTCTTTATTGTCTCAGATTTCAGTTTTGAACACTGATCACAATATTGTATTCATCTTTTTCTGTCAAGTAAACCTGATAACATATCTCAAAAGAAACTTAATAGGTTTGTTTTTGTCTTGATGTTTTGTCTTGTAACAATAGTGTTTTCATTCAGAGAAATCCAAGGCTGAACAGACACATTTTTTACAACTGTAAAACATTATTTAAACACAAATAAACTGTTTTGACAGAAGTTTTTACCATTTAATCCATGGTCCATGGATTTTATTTAATCCATTGTTAGACTGATTTTTGAATTAAAAATTTCTGCCTTCCGTGAACCTTGAATTATGTGTTCTCCAGGTTTAAAAAAAACTGCTACCTGAAATAGATTAAATAAAAGTCTTTACCCATACGGTAAATCTTGACACAGTTTTTTTTTCATACAGATCAGAAAGACCAACTCTGTAACGCCTCAGGATTGCACTTAACACTATATAACTCAACACAGCATGGGGTACATGCACCGTGGCCCTGGACATCATGGGGGCAAATGGCATCTGAGGCGACAGTGTTCCTCATTGTCCACTGAATTGAACTTTTACAATATGCCCCAACTCTCAATCTCTCCGTCTGTTGAGGTAAAAATTGCCCTCTATTACATCAGTGAGCAGCTAGCGTACCACAAGGGGCTTTTTCCGAGTTCTCACGCAGCATATAGTGCTTAATTGATTCAGAAGGAGTGTCAGAAGAGGGGCATTTAAGGTGAGTAGTGTTACTGCTACAGCTCCTATCGTGCTGCCTAATTTATTGTGGAAAAACCCTGGAGGTTTGCAAGTAGCCTGCAGCATCACTAGGGCCATATAGTTTGAGCATATGCTGCAATTCACTTAGAGCAGAAAACTTAGTCTAGCAAATAAGGAAATGAGGAAAAGTGGGGTTTCTTTCTAATGAACTGAACAATACAAAACACATCATGATGAATGCCAAGGCACTGCCCAAATCTGCAGACTTGGTATGTAGTTCCTTGTTCCCTGTTCCAAACTTGGCAGTAGCTGTGTATATCAGTGATTTTAGTGCTAATGTTCTCACTTTTAAATTTCTTGTACCTTTTTAGATGATGTGGGCGTATCGCTGGGGGCATTGTCCGTCATGTACCTACCTGTTTGCATTATTTATTCATTTTAATGTTTGTCTTATGGTCCCTTATGTCTTAAATGTGAATCTCTCGCAATCGTTTTCCAATGTAGTATTTTACTGCAAATGGCAAATTAACTGACTATGACTATGAAATGAGGGAACAGCATCCTTGAAAGCAACGATTAATTATTTTAAACATTTTTAAATAATAAAAAGGCCTCTCAAAGAGCTCACAGTTGTTGTACTTACTATGTCTGATCTATTATTTACATTTTATTTGCTTTATCTTTCTTTGTTGTTTAGGTTTGCTAAGTACGGCAGTCATTCAGCTACAGAAGTCCTTGAGAGGTTTCTGGTCTTGCTTATCTTACGTAGGAGGATTACTGAGTGTTTGTGAATGAGACCATTTTGATATATGAAAAAAAAGGCAAGAAGAAGAAAAATAAATGTGCGTGTTTGGCAAACATGGAAAAAATGAAAATAAGATCTGACACACACAAAAAAACCCTTGTGTAATAAAAAAAATAATATAAAGACTGGGGGGACTTTTAATTGACCCTTTGCTAAGTTCCGCCCCCGGACGCAGACTGGCCAGTCATAAAGTAGCATCAGCCCAGCTCAGACCAGGGTCTGACAACAACACAGCTGTGCTCTGTTGACTCTAATGCAGTCGTTTCAGATTTCCTTCATTTTCAGGCTGGTTTGTGGATTTGGAGCTAAATGTCGTGTATTAATGATACTCGTTACCTGGAGAGGTTGGAAACAGATATACGTTTCTTCCCTGTTCCAAAACCAAAATCAGACCCTGAAAAGTGTAGGGTTAGCTAGCTAGCTACTGAAGATATAGCCTACTGAATGTATACACATGCTGCTTTTGCTTTTTAATGATTTTAACAGTGAAAAAAAGACCGACCCTGCTGTACAAGAACCAGTGAAGGGAAGCAGGGAAACTTTGCTGATATTCAAAGTGTATATGGAATGGAAAAAAATAAACTACTTGTTCAAAGAATTTCCCAAAATGTAACAAAATTACACTGAGCAAAAATCAACACGCAACACTTTTGTTTTTGCTCCCATATTTCAAGAGGTGAAATAAAATTAAGCAACATCACACTCGAGCTTGTGATGTTATACTCGTATATCGTCGCGGCTGTGATTTGGTCATAGGCACTTGGCCTGCGGCCTCATGCCGAAGGCAATCACAGCCGTGACGATATACGAGTATAACATCACAAGCTTGAGTGTGATATTGCTTTTATACAACAGTTCAACAGTTAAATAAGCAAGGCTGATTAAGAAATGTTGAAAAATGAGGACAAAATAGATAATTTAAGCATTTTATTTGTCTTCCGCCAACAAAAATAGTTCCCTCAGGACTCTGCTGTCACCGTTGCTATGTAACGCAGACATGGTGCGCCAGGCACTTACTTTTTATACACATTTATCTGCACATTTCCATTAATTGTGCAGCCGGTGAAATAAGTCTCTGGTGACTGCATGGTGGACTGTCGCTTCACAGGCACAGCCGACTCTGCCTTCTGATCTGACAGTATGTTGCTCCATCGTTTTCTGCTCTCCATGGATGGCTTCCAGTAGCTTTTTAACAAGCTCTCAGAACTGCAAGACAAAAGGTATATTTTAGGGCCCGACTCCTAATTAGGAGACTAACTTTACACATAGGCTGCGTTAAAACAACATCATACCTGTGCCCACTCACTGTCATGATCTCCCTAGCTTCAAGACCCGCATCTGACAGCTTCTGTATGGCAGTCGCCCTGAGGCTGTGATTGGTGTAGATAGCTGTTGTCCCCGCCTCTTTACACATCTTCGGCAGCATCTGTGCGAGTGAGTTTATTCCCAGTGGAGCTTTAGTGTACCAGATATTGTCTGTGTGAGCTGCTGTCATCCTGGGCTTCAGATAAAGGTCATTTGCATCTGGTGGAAGTTTGTTTAAATACTTTTCCAGGGATGCAACGCAACTGCTGACCTAACTGACACTAACCTTCAGTTTTGATTTGATTGTTGATTGCAATCAGCTGTGAGGCGGAGTGATACATACACAGTGAAATAACCGTGATGTTGTACTCCAATATTGTCACGGTTTTACTGTCTCTCAACCAATCAGATTGCAGGGCCGGAACTAACTGTTGTATAATATATAATATATAATCATATTTGTTCTATACACAAAAGGCTTAGCTCCCTCAGATTTTGTTTTATGGATTAATCCATAATCAATGCATCTGACAGGTGTGGCATATCAAGATGCTTTTTACACAGCATCATTACTACACAGGTGTGCCTTGGGATGGTCACAGTTAAAGGCCACTCTACACCACACAATGCTACAGATGCCCCATGTTTTGAGGGAGCTTACCATTGGCATATTGTGTGCAGGACCTCCACTTCCAGGTTGTTCAGGTTATTATTTATTGATTGTGACAACGGCAAGTAAATCTGTTTAATAATGATAATCATAATAGCAATACATTTTATTCATAGGCACCTTTCCAGACACATTTAAAGTCACCTTACAGGCAACGATAGAAAAAATAACAACAGATTAATTGAATCAACAGGATAAAGTAACATGAAAAAGAAATAATGAAAACAATAATAACATAACAACAAATATATAATCAGCAAACAAGTTTAAATAAAAGATGATGCTGTTTATTTAATCACAGTCTTGATGTACCACAACTGTCTGGTGTATGGTTTATAAATCAGTTGGCAAAGTGCACAAAATTTAAACACAATTTAAGCCTTTTGTGCAAGGAGAAAGTATTAGATCTTTTATTACAACTCATGATAGTTGAGAGCAAAAACAATAATTTTGTGTTTATGTTTTTGTTGAGTGTTCATTTAAAAGGAAAAACTTATAATACTCATTCATAATTTGCTTAAATTGTTTTTTTTTCAGAGTTCAAGATCAAAAATCAATGAAAATCAACTTTGAACAATAAAAGTGGTGCAGACAAAAAAAAGGATTTTAAATGGAAATGATTCCTTTAAAGACACTGATGCAGCAACTGAAGGCAGTACCAGTGCCTTCATAGGCTTACATTCTAATTGCCCATAGGCTAAAGCAGAAAGATGTAATGTTAAAGTAGCCCTCTTGTAGCACCTCTGGGACCCAAAGCTGGATTGGGCCTCTAAAACATATAGAGATGAAAAGAAATGTGTTGCATCAAGGCTTGTTGAGCAGTTATCAAGGGGCCCCAAAAGGTCCAGGGCACCCCTGCCTTCCACTGATGTGCTAAATATTATCAAATGATTTATGTCAGAATGACGGACATGAGACAGGAACTGCAAAATGTGCCATTTTTAATGAGCTGTCATGAAGAACATCACACAAAATACAGCAGACATGACAGACCGAAGATGTATCACAAAGGTCACATGATTACATACAACAATTGCACAGTTACAGTGAAGATTGGCATCAGAAATAAGGATTGTAATTTGTAAAACAGGGTAGGTTTTTTTTTTATTTCAAGCTGATTAAAGCCACCGCAGTTCCCTAAGACTAAGCCACAAACTTTTTAAAGCCACTGTTTACATCTACAGTGTGTTAGCGTGTTATACTCAAAAGAAAAGATCTTGTATGGAGTATTACTTAAGGTCTTGCTTTACTGTGGCTACATCATACAGGCCATTTGTTGATCTTCTATCAGCACTCTTCCATTGGTGACAAACTCCAACGCCCTCCAGTTGAGCACATTCCCCGGGGTGAAGTTCAGATATTCCACGTAGCGCTTGATCTCACAGGTTGAAAGGGCGTAGTCCCACATGTGGACATCAGACATCATGCCAATGAAGGACTGATCCGCATCAAACCCCCCACCAGGGGAATCTTGCTCC